CCCCAAAACCCCAAAACCCCAATCATCAATAAATTTTTTATTTCTAGATTAAGAATAATCAAAATATTTATCATAAATCATTCATCTAAAATAATATTATTTTTATCATTTGAGTTTCTAACCTTAGGATTCATAAATCTCTAAGAATCATTTATGATTTAAGTAAATGACTAAAAATTAAGATCTTCAGCAACAGGCTCACATCCATTTGGTCCTGGGTTATAATCAATTGCAGAATTGTCATTTATGTTTCCATTATAATCATTATTGTCAATATTGTCAACAAAAAGTTGAGATTTCTTCAAAAATCTCTTTGCCATTCTTTTATCAATCTTATCTTTGATTTAGAATTTATGAATGTTTTGCTCTATTAACTATTTCTTAGGTAAAGTTTCTTTGCCAGCTTGAAGCTATGAATCTATTACGTTTTAATTTTAGCTCTTTATTTTTAAAACTTTTCTTTGCTTTATAAAGATTCTTCTTTATTATTAATTTAGTAGAATGTTTTCTAATTCTTTGATTTGTGACATTGTATTGATTAGGTTTTCTACATCAAAGTTTGTCTTTAGTTTCTTTATTCCTTTTTAAAATAAATTCTCTTTTATTTTTATTCTATAAAAAGCTCTTCGAGTAAGCAAGCAACAAATTATTCTACTGATAAGGTATTAAAGCCTATCACTGAAAAAATACTTGAATACTTTAAGACCAAGAAATCCTTAAAGGAAAATTTATTAGAACTTGCTAATTTCAAATTGCTTATCATTACCTCATAGTCGATTATTAATTTCCAATTTTCTTACAGTTTGGCTATTCTCAAAAGAATTATCTATTTAGTCATTTTAAGTATTATTTTCTACATATTTTTTAAGTTTCATTTTTGATTTTCTTTCGTACTCGTGGATGAATAGTCTTTCATTATAGCTAAATAGCTCTTGAACTAAATGTGAATTGTACAAAAAATCTTAAATGTAACAAGTAAGAAAGCAAATAACTGAAAATATAATACTCATCAAGCCTCCTACTTATGATATTGCATCAATGAATGAGCTTGAGATTCTTTCTATGCTCTCAAAATTTTCATCTATTTGATATTTAATACTGACAAGAGCATTAGATTATGGGTCCTTAGTAATAAATGTAGTGTCTAATCTTGTCTAGAAATACTTTAATTCTTTTCCTTTAAAAAATTAATCTGCCAACGTATTACTTAAATATGCTTCATTCTTACTTAACTTATAATTTTAATTTTAGGTATATTCAGGAATCATATTCACAGTAGAGATTTTAATTATTTCTTTAACTGGCAATAAATCAAATTCATCTACATCAAAGTATTGTTACTTGTCCACAATTATTACTATTGTATTTTTAAGTATATCATCAATCTCTGATTTTTATTTGCACTTTTTAATTGGGTCAAATTATTGAAGAATGATTTAATCACATTATACAATTTCAACAGTGATGTATTTCTCTATCGATGTAGCACTATTTCCTGCTAATGAAATATTAAAATCTTTTGGACATTTCATTCCTTCAAAATTGAATGCTGACATAGTATTTTTACTTAGGTAATTTTTATTACACTTCTCTAATTAATATTACTTTTCACTAAATGATATCTCAAAATTTCCATCATCATTTTCTATTTTCTCGAGTTTATTCTGATGAATTTTTACTGATAAATAAGTATCAATATCTATAAAAGTTTAAATAAATGGATTACCTTTATTCACTGCGCTGTTTTGCCCTAAATATAGTAAATATATACCTAGATCAAATTCCTATTAGGTTAAGTTATACTCAATGTTGTCCAATAAAAGATTTTAAAATTTCTTTGATGTCTTAAAATTTACAGCATCATTTGAATATATCTTTGATATTAAAAAGCAAAAGTAAATGAAGAGTATTCCTTAGTATACTAGCGATATTAAACCTCCAAATGCACTTTTAAATGAGGATTCATCTTAGTATTTAAGTTCAAATTTTTAGCCAAAAATATCAAACTTTTTAATAATGTTAAGAAAATTAACCATTTTAAGAAATATAAAATTATTAAACTTATCCCTAACATTCTTCTAAAAATGCATAAAGGGGTTTTGGGGTTTTGGGG